ATGTTTATCCACCAATTGTAAAGATGGCAAGATCAATAAAAGCAATGTTCAATGGTGGTCCTCTTCCAACAGCGGCAAAGCTGTTTATCCAACAATCGTAAAGTTGACAAGATTAATAAAAGCAATGTTAAAAGGTGATCTTCTTCCAACAACGACAAAGATGTTTATCCAACAACCATAAAGATGGCAAGATTAATAAAAGCAATGTTCAAAGGTGATCTTCTTCCAAAAACGACAAAGATGTTTATCCAACAATCGTAAAGATGGCAACATTAATAAAAGCAATGTTCAAAGGTGATCTTCTTCCAACAACAGCAAAGATGTTTATCCACCAATTGTAAAGATGGCAAGATCAATAAAAGCAATGTTCAATGGTGGTCCTCTTCCAACAGCGGCAAAGCTGTTTATCCAACAATCGTAAAGTTGACAAGATTAATAAAAGCAATGTTAAAAGGTGATCTTCTTCCAACAACGACAAAGATGTTTATCCAACAACCATAAAGATGGCAAGATTAATAAAAGCAATGTTCAAAGGTGATCTTCTTCCAAAAACGACAAAGATGTTTATCCAACAATCGTAAAGATGGCAACATTAATAAAAGCAATGTTCAAAGGTGATCTTCTTCCAACAACAGCAAAGATGTTTATCCACCAATTGTAAAGATGGCAAGATCAATAAAAGCAATGTTCAATGGTGGTCCTCTTCCAACAGCGGCAAAGCTGTTTATCCAACAATCGTAAAGTTGACAAGATTAATAAAAGCAATGTTAAAAGGTGATCTTCTTCCAACAACGACAAAGATGTTTATCCAACAACCATAAAGATGGCAAGATTAATAAAAGCAATGTTCAAAGGTGATCTTCTTCCAAAAACGACAAAGATGTTTATCCAACAATCGTAAAGATGGCAACATTAATAAAAGCAATGTTCAAAGGTGATCTTCTTCCAACAGCGGCAAAGCTGTTTATCCAACAATCGTAAAGTTGGCAAGATTAATAAAAGCAATGTTAAAAGCTGGTAGCAAGCCACACGAGTTGTACGTATATCTTTATTGAAAAAGCATCGCGGAGTCGTCATTAGAATAAAACAAACATCGAATGTTCGCTTTAGACCATCATGAAGCATTTACGATGAAGTATTAAGGTATAAAAATTTGGAAAATGTTAACTTTTGTAGACTACGTTGAAACAGTAATGAGAATGTTGAGGTACAATAGGAAGAAAGTGTTCAATGTGGACTATCTTGGAACAGCAAAAGTATTTAGTAGAAAATTTTCACAGTAGGCATCCTGTCAACAGCAACGCAAAGTTACAATAAGTCAAGAAAAGTTCACTGAAAATGCCCAAATTTGTTTTAATGACGGTGCTTTAAAGTTTTTCTCTTGCTTTTTATCTTTCTCATCACGGATCGCTATTTAAAAGATCTGCCAATACCATTCGTCTTGGATGTTTAAGTGCAAAACGCTCGATTACTTTGTCGATGTAAATGTGAATTTCTCGATGAACATTTAATAATGCTAGTGACGATAATCTTTTTTCTCCCATGGTACTTCGTATGAAGGTTTTCAATTGACGAAGAGTTGAAATCGATCTCTCACAGCTACATGTAGTCACTGGAATTGCACCAAATATTTTAAAGGCAGTTTGCACATTTGGAAATGAACGAACATCAACAAAAGGAAGCAACTCTTGTATGGAATTTGGAAGCGGACACTTGTAGTTGTAACAGAAAAGTTTCCACATTCTTAACTCCATTTCAAGAAAATCAGGTGACGGTAGGTCATCTTTATACTTATTCAAAAAACGAGAAAAATTTTCGGCCCACTTAGGTTCACTGGTGACGTAACTTGGCAAAGCATACATGGCATCAAATGCGTCGAGATTTCCATCTGAAAATCTTAATTGTATCTGCCCTACAAGATGATCGAGGAAAGGAATCGTCAAAGCTCTTTTGTAGTATTCTAACGTGCTGTCCGCAGGTACGTTGACTCGGTGCATTTGACGGTCACTTGTCCTCTTCTTGTAAGGTTTCACTCCTCTTCCTTTAGCTAATTCAACCGCCATCATGATAAAGTCAAAGTCACAGGCAGGTAGTCTAAGATTTGGAACTAGTCTAGGCATGTCGAACAGGATTCAGACGACTTATTGATTCCATCTACTATAGCATCAATATTCTATATAACCCGCGAAAGAAAGTAACAGTTATTCAAAATGATATGTTAGTTTCTTTAACCAGAGGATAACATAAAATGCCAGGAGTACAAAGATAATACATTATGATTGGTTTAAATTTTAAAAAGGACTAGCTTTGACTAATATTGAAGTAAAACATTTTTTTAACAGACAGTAACATTTAAAATTATTTAGGCCGTACATTAGACAGACTGAGTATGCAAAATAATGACAGCTTTAGATATATATTTAACATGATACACTAAATGAACGGATTGATCATATATTTCAGGCCAAGATGTCAAACGTAAATAAAAATATAAGTTAATACCCCAATACATGTAAATTCTTACCTAACAGGGTCCTGATCTTTCAATTTGGCTTTCAGGGAACTGCAGTTTTGAAAATGAACAAGTTCGTAGCATAATATCGCCAGTAGAATTTATACGACGAAGCCTTTCCTCGTTCATTATTTTACCACAGTGTTGTGACAAGTTAGACAATTCACCAGAAATAATTTCGCAAGCGTTCTCTTGCTGAAAGATTTGGACGAGCTTTTCAAGAACCTCGATCTTTTTAGAAATTTCCATTGATCCTAATCGCTAAGGAGAAATAGAAGTAGCGTTTTTTCAAGTCGACAAGAATCGAGCTATTGCATATGACTTGTATTTATTGCGCAATCAAAATACATTCACCGTGGCTCACCGTGGCGCACATGGCCAAAACGTTCCCTGTGATTGGCTTGCAACGCTGCACCGTGGCTAAAGGTCACTATATTTAGCAACTATTGCGAAATTTTTTGAGCGCTGACCGTGGCATTTCATCCTGAGATTGCAGGTTCGAATTTACGAACATATTCCACATATTCCGAGCATATTCATGGCGTATTCTTCAAGATTCGAGACGCTTTCGGTGATTTTACAGTTCAGAGTTTAACTGGATGATAATACTATTTTAACAAGACGTTTAATTTGAAGTTTTTGTTCTGTTAACATAAATTTTTGACAAAAAATTACAATATTCATTCAATTTTTACTTTTCATCGAATTTTGCTGTATTTGAGCAAAATTTTTAATCATAAAAAGTCAACCCTGGAAAAACTTAAGTGGTAGAATTCTGACCGTGGCTCAAGCCACTTTCGCCATGGCCTAGATCCGCCCCTGATATAAAGTTCTCTGTAATATATATAATTCATAAATCGCAAAATATTTCAACAAAAACACGCACAAAATTTCGAACATACGCGTATGATACGAGAAATTTACGCGTATGATACGAGAACGATACGCGTATGATACGAGAACCATACGCGTATGATACGAGAACAATACGCGTATCATACGCAAAATTATGTTAACAAATACGCGATACGCGTATGATACGAGAACAATACGCGTATCATACGCAAAATTATGTTAACAAATACGCGATACGCGTATGATACGAAAACGATATGCGTATGATACGAGAGCGATACGCGTATGATACGAGAACAATATGCGTATGATACGAGAACGATACGCGTATGATACGAGAGCGATACGCGTATGATACGAAAACGATACACGTATGATACGAGAGCGATACGCGTATGATACGAGAACGATACGCGTATGATACGAGAACGATACGCGTATCATACGCAAAATTATGTTAACAAATACGCGATACGCGTATGATACGAAAACGATACGCGTATGATACGAGAACCATACGCGTATGATACGAGAACAATGCGCGTATCATACGCAAAATTATGTTAACAAATACGCGATACGCGTATGATACGAAAACGATACGCGTATGATACGAGAACGATACGCGTATGATACGAGAGCGATACGCGTATGATACGAAAACGATACGCGTATGATACGAGAGCGATACGCGTATGATACGAGAACAATACGCGTATCATATGCAAAATTATGTTAACAAATACGCGATACGTGTATGATACGAAAACGATACGCGTATGATACGAGAACGATACGCGTATGATACGAGAACGATACGCGTATGATACGAAAACGATACGCGTATGATACGAGAGCTATACGCGTATGATACAAGAACGATATGCGTATGATACGAGAACGATACGCGTATGATACGAGAACGATACGCGTATGATACGAGAACGATACACGTAAGATACGAGAACGATACGCGTATGATACGAGAATGATACGGCTATGATACGAGAACAATACGCGTATCATACGCAAAATTATGTTAACAAATACGCGAGCGGTACTGTACTCACCATTCTGCGATCTCTTGTTGTAAGTTAATTGTCTTCTTTTTGAGGATAAATGCTCGGCTAAGCAACGATTCCGAATTCGTCTCGAACGAGTCGAGGTGCAAAATTACTTTCTGATTCAGAAAACGAGCCGAATTGCCGAGAAAACGAATCTTTTGCGAAGTGTTCCGAGCAAACTGCGGAATTCTTTGTAGGGACCCATTTATCGCGAGTAGCTTTCGCAAAGTTGATCCAACGCTTTCTCCTACGCTTAGCTTCGCTTCTTTCGTCGTTAAAAAATGGTATGCGATGAAGTGAAATGCCTTTCTCCGAACTGGCTACGTTAGAACAACCAAAAACTACACATCGATCTGGCATTTTTGTGTTTGTTTAAGTGTTTTATGCATAAACAGTGTAAGTTGTTTTGGTAGTCAGTCTGTGTTCCTTAAATGACGTCACAAGTAAGTCCCATGCCACGGATTAAAGCTCTCGACATTTTTTACAAAACCAAAACATTTTTTACAAAATTCAGGATTTATTCCCATCTTTGCCGAAAGATAACTAAAAAACGAAAAAAGTTCTACAAATTTTGTATTTGTACTGTTTATTCAAAATCTATTTGAGAATAAAGACTAAAAATAGTGACATAGACAACAAAAAGACCACACTGAAAAGAGCTGTATGTTTATAAAAATCATAGCAACAATTATGATAAGTAAAGCATATTCAACAACAATTCAGATTCAGCTTGGTTTGAATTAAGCCTGAGGTGCTGGAACTTCTTGGATCACAATTCGAGAGACTGTTTGCCATCCACTGTAGGCATCTGCATTGGAATATCCCTGACAATTACCGACATAGAATCCAACATTCACAGTACCCATATTGATGTTGCCACAATATCCCTCGATATGACGATGACGATGAATATCATGTGTTCCTCTACCTTTCCTAATGTAGAGGACTCCTTCAATCGTAGGATTACATTCTTTTCCGTTGAATTTAATATACCATCGCTTGCAACACGTGTCGCAGTTGTAAATACGGAGGGTACCGGCGTAGAACACGCGAAGATAAGTATTGTCACGTTTTTTCTTAAAACTGCATATCTAGAAAAGAAAAATAACACAGTAGTATACATCTGGTATGAGTGACAACATATTGCTTCTACTCTATAGGAAAAAATGGCTGTTTTAAAAAGGAAAAGTATATGCTTTAAAAAAGAAATCTGACTAATATAACATCACTTAGAAATTTGAAATGATTGATGAAAAGCACAATTCAATAACACATAACTTATTCTTGTTATAAATATTAAAGCCCAGCAAAGTGCTTCTAAAAGAGACATTCAATAAAAAATGACGTATTAAAAGAAATATTTATTTAGTAGCGTAACGTTTCGTCTTGACTCTCAAGACAGAGAGTTACGCTACTAAATAAATATGCGTCATTTTTGTATTGAATGACTCTTTAAAAGCACTTTGCTGGGCTTTAATATTTATAACAAGAATTCGCTTCCCGCCTGGTATTTCCCGGGTCACAACACATAACTTAATTAAACCCATATTATGAATGGTGTTTTTGAATGCCATGCACAAATGGAAAAGAGATATAATTTATCTTTGTTTCTATCTTGCCTAAAACTGAAAAAACATCAAAAGAGATTTAGTGACAAAATGACACATTCCAAATGCAGCTAGGGTACGTCAGATTACATTGCAGCAATTATGTTGAAATTCAAGACAAATGAAACGCCTTTATGCTCGTTAAATTTGTGCTCTAAAATGTTTTTTAAAGTATAAAAATGAACAGTTTTGTTAAAATTGCTATATATATATGAAAAAAAAAAGCTGCTTCCAGGGGCCACACAAGATTTATAATTGGGGGGGGGCAATATTTATATATTTATATGTTTTAATCTTGTTAATCCATAACCACAATTGATTTCAATAGAAACTATTAAGGTAGAACATGCATATATGAATACTTGCCTCGGCCCCCAATTGACAATCTTACGCGGCCTCTGGCCTCACGTAATGTGTTCACACTCACGTGGCTACTCTACATGTAAAACTCGCGAGTTTTACATGTAGAACTGTAATGATTTTTGCTAAACCACTGCGTACAAGAAAAAGACAAAACATATTATCTTATAAAAGAAAATTGACTTTTGAAGTGTAACAAATTTTGTTATCTCTGTACATCATTTGCATTTACTTTCAGTTTTGCCAAGCCAGTTTTAATAAAGTGTCTATAATATAGTTCCCAAAATATTTTAAGGTTTTTGTCTTTCACTTCAAAAATCCAAAATTTATAGATTGTTAATCAGGAATAAAGTCTTCTACCAGAGCGGAGTAGGAGTTATGTTCATAAATTTCAATATTTAATAAAAAGATTTCAAACTTTATGAGCTTGTACATGTTGTTGATTTTTTTTAATGTGTGCTACAACAAAAAGAAATAACAGAACTAAGTTGAATAAAAATGTGACATTACAATCAACAACGATTTTTTTAAATATATTTGGCATACATATAAAAAAATTTCAAATAAAAATGCAAAGCCTTATCTTTTATTTATAAAGACATATTTTTTCCTTTTTCCTTCTTAAACACAACGACACATGTCACCATTATAGCACAATATAAAATTGCAATGTCACTGCCTAAATTATTACTAATAATTAATTATGTATAATGATACCTGCAAAATAAAGAATATCTGATAATGAACTAATTATTTCAACAAAATTTGTAGCGATTATTCACCTTTATAAGTCAATTGTCTCGATCATCACTCTTCTTCCAAGAGCATTGCTTCCAGTTGGATTCATTATTAACTCGTACAGGGCCTTGTACACCAGCTTCCCCCTTTTCACCCTTAACACCAGTCCTTCCCATACCACCTTGGATTCCTTTGTCCCCTTTTGTCCCTGATGGACCTATCTTTCCTGCCTTTCCATCACTTCCACTGGCTCCTTTGGCTCCTGGCACCCCATTATGACCTGGAACTCCAGGTACACCAGGAACTCCAGGTACACAAGGCGCAACACAACTGGTTTTGCAAACATTTGATTTCTTGGGAAGACCTCTAGGTAGTCGTGTTTTCTGACAAAATTTAATGAATGAACATGATTAAGTCTCTTAAATGTTGTTAAAGATGTACAGTTAAATATGAATGGTACATAATTATTACTCGTTGTCAATTAATATTTTTAGACTTAAACGAAGTTGATTTTGACCTTCTCATCGACACTTGTCTACGTCCGCTGGTTAACGTCCATGGTTACGACTAATGATAGGTTAAATTTGAGTGAGAGTTTAGAATAGTCAAAAAGTTGAAATAAGTACCTAGAGTAACATACATTATTGCCAAGGATGCTGTTTTAAGCTTTCCTTCATTACAAAAGCAATGAAGGAAAGCTTAAAAACGTTTTTTGAAAATCGATAGATAATCCGTACGTCTTCAATCACCGAATTACGAACTGCATACTTTTCTGATCGTCAGTTATTTTTCATTTTCAAACAAAACATATTTTACAAACCTCTAGGCATACTGCATATTGTAACGTACAAAGTTTTACAGTGTCATCTATGAGAGTGCTTGGCGTGTCGTAAGCTGTGCTATATTTGAAATCATCGTGTCAATGTGATACGAATTTTTGATGGAAAACGGAAAACTCTGTGTGCATTTGAGAGCTTTGCGCCAACAAAATTTAGTTACTAAGAAGCATTACGCTTCTATTTTCAAAAAACTAGATGGCCATGATTTATATGTTTTAAGCTGGAGCTCAGTAAATAATAGATGTACATGACACTGGTATTGCATGCGCTTAGAAGTGAATCTTCTAAGATTTAAGATAAGTTAATGAGGACTCTCGAGCAGGAGCAACCCTCGACCTTCGGTCTCGATTTTGCACTGATCTGCTCTCGAGCTGTCCCGACGGTCTCCTCGATTTGCATAAGCCTGTGCAAACCATTGAACTATAATAGATGGAAGGCTACCTGTAATAGAAAAGCCTAATAATTTTTTGAAGCCAAATTTGAGCAGAAAAGTATTGTGGCATGGAAGGTAATGGGGCATAATCTTTTTTCATCCAATTACGATGCTTCGTATTAAATACCTATTTCGAAATGGAAAATATCAAAGTGTGGAAACTGTGAAAAACAATCATATCGTTGATCATTCAATTTATACAAATCGGAAACATTGCAGCAAGTACTTGTTTATTTTGAAAAGATTCAACTGGATGTATTCAATAATATACATGCTTCTCCATGAAATATTTGTACATTAAAATACTTACAGAAGCCTTTCGTTTGGGAGGATGTGACGAGTATTATCATTTATTATCTAATTTATCTTTTAAAACCAAATCTCGTGTAAGTTTGAAATAAAAATTGTGTTTTTCTGTAAAATTGTACTTCCACAGAAAAACATTGATCACAATTGTTTTGGGTGAAAATACATTTACAAAACTGATGTTTGATAAGAATTTTATATGCCTTTTTATGCTACTTTGAAACAAAAACGCTATGGTTTTTGGCACATTCGCAGACATACCAAAACAAACAATAACAGAAAAATGCCTTCTAGTTATGGTTCGCTGTGGCCTCATTTACAAAAATGTAATTGTTAAGAAATTGTGTATACGTGGTGTTAAGTCTCATTTGTGAACTTTTTGTTTGCCAAATTAAGACAAAAGAGAATTTGCGTTTTGTTTTTGAAGCTTCGTAGTTTGTTCAAGTTATTTTACACTTCTGTCTATCGGCCGTGTGTTTACAAATGCGTGGAAAGACTGGGCTCTACTGGCTTCAAAACATCGACTGAGGTAGCTTTCCATTTATTTAGTTCAATGGTGCAAACACAGTAAACATTTTTTTTTCTTAAATAACATTCTTTATTATACTGAAGATTTCACCATGAGATGTTGAAACATGTCTATTTCAAAAAACTCGTCGTATTCATTAAATGCGCAATAACGTAATAGTTCTTAAAAGAGCTGTTTAAGATAAACAATGCGTACAATAAACGTACTGGATTAAATACGGCACCATGACTATCAATCACGTTTCTTTTATTATTTGCCAAACGAGATACAGCTGATGCTTTTATTACATGAAACATTTGCTTTAGGACAATTAAGTGTACATATCCATCATCCGTCGAAGGAGCTGATCAGTGAATACATATAAGCTTTTACGATGAAAGCATTTAAAGTTTGTTAGTTGAATTAAAGCTGACGTTACTAAAGAGTAAAAATTTAAACGCTCGTCACCGAACCATAAAAAGGCTTTGGCAGAAAAAACAGTTCATGTTCTATGCAATAATAACACGAGTGCGCAACATAAATCTTCTCATATTCCCTGCCTCTTTTTAAAAGTCTTCTAAAATGTGACGTCTTACCTGGAAAACATCTCACTGGACAGACAAAAATCGAGATTAAACAGCCTTACAATTTATAATATTTACATATTTGATTTCTTTCTCTGTGGTTGACTTCCTTATAGTTCCTTTTGTCTGCAGCAGCTCCATAGTGTTTTTACGAGATATTTAAACATAAAAATTTGATCGAAGTCGGAGGACTATTACATAACGGACAATAACAGATCTAGGCACCGTATGAAACAAAAATTTGTAAGTGTTGAAGAAATTTTGTGCGTATTTTTGTTCAAATATTTTGCTATTGATGAATTATATATATTACAGAGGACTTTATAGTATTGTAATAATTAATATCTAGTAGTCAATTTTCAGTTTCAACAAGTTTTTGTTAATAATATTGCAGAGTCCAGTGTAACATATTTTGGTAGTCTGATTCTTTGAGCAGAATCTCATCCAGACGAATAGGACGATCGCATTTGTGTTTTACGCTTATGTTTTGCGTTTCGAAACAACTGATTCGATTAATGCAATTATATACCTAAAAATCTTTTGTGGTTTGAATTATATAAATTATACTTTGGTATATCCGTTTCTGATTCCTTTATACAATTCTTCTCTGTATATTTAAAAAATAGTACTTATTGCGCATGCAAGAATCCAAACATTCGTTACAATTATCGATGTTGCTATCTTCCTTATGCAAGTATATTGCTGAAAGGAACAAT